GTAAAAATATAAAAAACATAAAACATTATTATTAATTTGTACTCAGTAGCTGCAATTTCAATTTTTATGTTTTTAACTTTTAAGAGAATCAGAAATATAGATACTCCCAAATAAATTTTCAACCCCCCATTTCCCTCCTTAAAATGTGAAAATCCAAAAACCCTGAAACATGTCATTAATAATTTGTAGTCAGTAGCTGCAATTCCAATTTTCAGGTTTCTAACTTCATAGAGAACAAAAAAAATCGATAGACCCATACACACTTTCACCCCCCGTTTTCCCCCCTTAAAATGTAAAATTCCAAAAACCCTGAAACACGTCATTATTTATGTATGCTTAGTAGCTGTAATATAAATTTTTATGTTTCTAATTTCAAAGAACAAAGAGTTTCAGTAAAAAGCACCCTCCCTCCATTTCCTCCCATTTCCCCCCTTTAAAGTTAAAATTTTCAAAAATCCCTTCTTAGCGGATGCCTACGTTATAAAATAAACCTATGTTCCAAATTTCAGCTTTCTAGGCTCAGTAGTTTTGGCTGTACGCTGATAGGTCAGTCAGTCAGTCAGTCAGGACAAACAATTTTATATATATATAGAAGATAAATCTAATTTAGACGTATAGTAAAACAGGATAATTAAAGGTAGATAAAGTAGTAATGTTAGACGTATAAAAAATAAAAAAAATATACTTTTATAGGGCGGACATTTTCACGTATATATTGGGTAGCATATCAACAGTATCCATACGTATATTGTAGTACATAAAAAAACGTCTTTTATATCAAAGTGGATTCGTATAAATATACTACAACTATAAATATAATATAGACGTAAAGTAAAAACGTTTAATTATAGGTGGATAAATTCTTAGTAATCGACGTTTATATATGGCAAATAATATATGTTTATAAGGCGAATATTTTCACTAGTATACTTGGTAATAGCTAAAAAAATACGTAATTTATACCAAAGTGTGCTGCCTGGGTGGTATAACATCATTCATTAATTTCAGCTTTCCCCTTTTGATTTTACTAACAGTACCATCAGTAGAAATAGTCTCATAATATTTGATATCTTCTAAAAAGTATAAAACAGCGTCATCTCTAGAAAGTGCTTTATCGGCATTAGGAACGATATATATGCTGCCACTGTTCTAAACGTTTAGTATCCTATAAAAAACATTTACAGTGACACAATTGGGACCCAAAAAAAAACTATACTTCGTAAGATAAGTATTGTGACTAGTTTACAATAAATATTATATTTAGACATGAATACATTATTTTACTTACATTAGAAGCTTTACAAAGGCATTGAATTGATTTCTTTAGTTTTACATTTGATTTTTACCCTGTTTTACAATCTTGAACGACGTAAATCTTACTTTGATGTTTTTTGTCACTTATGTTACTTGTGCTCAGATACTTTTTTTACATTATTTTGATTCTTTTCACCAATTTTTTAAAAAAGTACTTCATTTTTCATTGAATTACATAGAAAATTGACACCGCTGTCATTCGACATGCCAGCTACAGTAAATTTCGCGAACTTTATAAAAAGGACAGAAATTTGAAATTTGACTATTGTCGATTCGCCTCCTTCCCTCTAGTCTTCATAGTTTGAACTTAGGCGGCTTTGAAAATTTGACCATAATTTTTTAGAGGCTCTGTGTTGCAACTAATTTAGCACCTCAAAAAATATAGAAACAGCGTTTTCTCAAAACAACTATATTATAACGTTTATTTATTTAAAATAGTTTATTTACTTAAAACAGTTTATCTACTTCTGCCTTTTTGGGTTATGGAGCCAGACTTTGTCGCTTTCCTTGAAACATCCTGCTGTGGCTTAGGTATTGTACCATTTCTTCATTCTGTCGCTGGCGATTTGAAGATGCCAGTGAAGCAACTCATGCATGTCGGTCATTTTTCTTCGTAGCTGGATCACATAGTCTTGTCTTCTCCAAAATCGATGGCGCACGGTAGTCTCATTTCGACCAAATAGGAGTTTAGCTGGTGGTTGGCCTTTTGACAGGTACTTGCTAATGATCTTATTCATTCACTATATCATTCCGTCCGACTGTGGGTACAACGAAGTAATTTTCTTTATGCCTAGTCACAGATTCCTAGACACAGATTTCTCGGATAAGTTGGTTTTCAAAATTTCTGCCTTAGTCACTGTGAATCTCCAATGGCACTCCAAATCGACTAATATACTCTTTTATTAATACGTCTGTAATAGTTGCGGCCTCTTCATAAAATAATTTATAACCACAACCAATTAGTAGTTCATGAACTACTAATTGATGTTTTTATATAGCTACTTATAAGCCCATAAAAAGTACAGAAGAATTTAAAAAACCTAATTTTCTACAGCAAACGTCTGGGACATTACGTACCCTTTTTAAGTGAAAAGATACGTGTAGGTTTAATATGTAGTTTTCCTCTGCAGCCCCTTTTCCAAAATGTCATTTAGCCTAAAATATAAATAGCTCAATTTCGAATATTTTGATTATTTTTATTTTTTTTATGTTTAGAGAAAAAACTAAATAAAATTTTGCAAAAGTGGAAAAGAAAAACGCGGATTTAACCTTTACCTACACGAACAATTTAATTTACTTCTTGATTTTACCATAAAGCATAGGAATGCCTATATGTTCTCCTGGTTCCTACAGTTTATATGATTCGGTTGTCTTGGGTCAAAGGTGTTTAAAGTAAAACTACATAGTATAAGCTGACTACGTCACGAAAAAAAGTATTTTAGGTCGGCTGGTCTTTTGATACTTCTTTTCTTATTGAAGCTTGGTGGGGATACGGTACATCTGGCTGCTGTGAGTGGTTGCGTTTTCTTCTGCGCATCCTATTTGTACAGGTACAAATTACGTATTTTCAAATCATTTTAGGTCGATTTCTGTTTTCTTCGTAATTTTCTATATCCTTCTAGCAATAAAAATATAAAGTACCATACAGTTTTGTCGTTGCTAACTCCGTGCCAGATGCTAAATAAAAATATTTTTTCAAATCATTTTAGTATAGCTGTAATTTTAATATGATATAGTTATGCTATGAAAGAACTTAAAATTAATTTGCCATACATAAATTCAGTTGTATAATAAGAAGTCGACCGATTTGAGTCTCGGAGATAGTAGGCAATGTAGAAGAGTGCTGGCTGTCACTTTTTATGATGGCGTTGTCCAGGTATCTCAATGTTTGTGTGTTATTAGTTGTGTTCATCAAAGGGTTAAGCCAAATTTCATCGTGATGAGTAATGGAAAAGGAAAATATGTTTTTTTGTGAAGAGAAAACTGGAAAAATAATCCTATTTACTAATGGAAAACTGAATAAGTGTGTAGATATTTTATATTCAATTTAAAATATAAATATGTTAGGCTACCAGACAGTGTTAATGATACTGATGGATACCATATCCACTTCCTTGATATCTATATATCGTAATCCAAATCCTATACTGCAGATTAATTCTCCGAGTACATCTTGTCCAACATTTTCAAATTCTCCAATTAATATTTGTTATACTACTCAAGAAAATATTACTCCAATCGTTGATAATAGCGATCTATATACATTTTCAACTGATTTAGCAATTGACTCCTTTTATAAAATTCCAGATTTGGAAAAAGAAAGTGCCACAGAAAGAAGTGATAACCTTAAAAGTGTATGCTTTTTTGCGAAAAAGACCGAAAGGAAGTTAAAGGAAAACAGCAAACTTTACATTCTTCAAAAGATGAAAAACTATATGAAAAAATAATTGAATGAATGATAATATAAGATCATGATACTGTTAAAAAAAATCAATGCTATAAAATCTGCAGGTGGAAGTGTTTTTACCATCATTTATGTGAATTAGCATACACGAATAACTACAATAAAACAATTAAAGATAATCCACGTACATACTACATGGCATGCAAACAGATATTCACAAAAAAAATTTTGACAATACTAAGTTTTTAATTGATGCAGAGGTTATGAAAAAAATGTTGCTTGCTATTATCATCGCTTTGTGATATTTACAATAGTAACTTGGAGTATGAATTAAAACAACAATCTTTACCGGAATCAAGGTATATGACTCATCATAATCTTGAAAATAAAATATTAAAAAAATTCCCAGATACCATTCAAATTCAAAGGAAAAATAAAAAATCTGCACATGGATAGTAATTTAATAGAAGAAAACGATTTAACAGATCTTGAAGAGAATGATTGTATTGAAAAGGTAGCATTAATCCTACGAAAAACAATTTTAAATATTAATAAATTTAAATTAAAATCAAAAACTAAGGTGGAAGATTTAATTAATGGTGAGTGTTCCATTCCAGAGAAATTAGAGCGGTTTTATAAAGTCTTGATTGGAGGTAAAGATATTCGTCGAAGAAATGATGTCAATTGTTGACTAATTCAATGGCCTCAGACCCTATTTTTTGTGTCAAGAGTGGAACTGTTAAACTGTCTAAAATAACACTTGGTTTGACTATAAAAAGTCTTACAAATAGTCGAAAAGTTATTATTATTTTAAATAGATTTGGACATTGATGCAACTATTACACCCTGGAAGAATTTGAAACTGAAGCAACTATAGCATCTGTTGATTGTTCACAAATAAGTCCTCCTGACATTATCTATTCTCCATTATTATGTACAGGTGTGGCATTCGATAATTTTGATAGATTCGTCGATACCCTAAATGGAAAAGAAACTTTACACGACACTGTTGGAATTATATATCAAAATGTTGATAATAATGTCCAAGAAGAATTGAATGTGGATAATGCTAGTAATAATTCTAAAGAAACGCTACCAGGACCATAAAAAGAAAAAGAACCTTTGATGCTATTGTTCCCGATATGCTAAACGATTAAGGATGTCTGGACGTTTAAAACTGGTTGAGAAAGATTAATCTAATTTACCAGAAAACTTTACATTAATGCAATCAATTGTTCTTCTTCACTTAGTATCATATTTTTTTCATGTACCAAACACTCCAATGTGGACAGGTTTCAATTGTAATCTACTACCAGATAATAGCTTAAAACAAAGAGATTCATATTTAACACCCATGAATCTATCACCTATCAATACAGCTATTGTGATAAATACAATGGAACAGGCACAAGCAATAGGTAAAGAAACATATCTTCAAGTCACTTATGACTTGGCCATATCTAAAATTGCATTAAAAATACAAGCAATAGAGCAGCCATGATTTAATAATCTTTTGATACATCTGGGTGAATTTCACTTAATGATGGCTTTTTTTTAAATCAATTGGTACGTTTATTAATAGGTGTGGATTATCTCATACGATGATTAAAAGTAAAATCATAGCTAGTGGATCAGTTATCGGACTTATTGAAGGAAAACATTTCAATCGTTGCAAACGTCTGCATCCTTTAATGGCTCTAGGCTTATAAATGTTGCATTTTGATCAATTCTTAAAAACTAAAAATACTGAATTTGATTTTCTCAAAGAGCAGATTTACGACGATCTTTTAGAGTACCAAGACACAAATCTTCTACCCTCAATTAAGTCAGAGGAACTCTTAACTTATCTAAACTTTTCTCTTCATATAAACAACATGTAAATCGAATACTGCGAGGCGATCATGAGAAAACAGCTCATTACTACATGATTTTTATACAGTTGGTCAATTATTACTCACTTTATCAAGAAGCATACGCATGGGTGATTTTGAGATGTTTAAATATATAATTCCCAAAATAACTAATTTGTTTTTTATGGTTAATCAACAAAACTACGCTCGATGGTGTGTTAAATATTTGAAAAATTTAAATAACATTAACGAAACGCACTCAGGACTTTTCAAGAATACCAATAAATCTTACATTGGAGCAAACTAATAATGCTGATGAAGCTAGACGATTAAGTGGAATTTTACATTTTAGTAACTCTATAGCAGCACGTCAACGCTGGACAAAAAGCCACAGCATTAGAGCTGCGTGTTCTTGATGTTTGTGGGTTAAAACAATATCAAGACGTTATTGCAGATTTAAAATCTAGTAGAATAAAAATTTATGCAAAACCAGTAACAGATCTTGTTAATATACTTGAGAAAAATTTTAATCCATTCGATTCAAGTTTAGATCGAGATAATCTTTATGATATTGCTACTGCCAAGCCTACTACTGCAGGTGTTGCTAAATGTTTACTTAATATTGAAAAGAATGGCGATATTTTAAGAAAACAGTTTATCAACAAATGTGCTGATAATAAAAAGAGATTCAGAAAGATCTATTAAAAAAAATGTGCTTAACTTTGCTGCTGCTCCGAAAACAAAAAACTCACTCTTGGTAATAAAGTCGTTGAATTGAGAATGCAAAGAAACATATGTGATCGAATGTTGGAAATATCTCTAAGCCATAAGTTGATATTAAAAAACTACTTTCATTCCCACTTACGCCTTTGCCAACATCCATGTGTCATGCTGATGGAACTATTTGTAAAACATATAAAGCACAGTTTGTTGCAATAATCGAGAAAACAATGGAAGACAATATCAATAAGCATCCGTTGTGTTTCGACATAGCTATACTAGATGGCTTCTTCATGTTACACCAAATAAAAGAAATACCTCAAACCTTTAATGGGTTATCTAAGAAGTTCCTCAGCATAATAACTCAATTTAAAGCAAGTCGCATTGACATTATATTTGATCAATATTTTACACCCTCAATTGAAAAATGTAAGCGTACACCTAATCAAATACGACCTCATAACTTTACTGCTCAGCTCAAAAACATGCAATTCAAGGAAGCTCTAGTTAAATTTTTTATTAAACACTGGTCTACTGACAACATGGCACCTTCTATTGCTAATAAAACAATTTACTTAAGTTTAAACGAGTGTTACTGCTATCAGGTTAAAGATAATAAGGTAATTATGACCAAGGATGATTTATTATCATGTGAAGAAGACGAATAAGCAGATTTTAGGATTATATATCACATTTGTTAAATTTATTTTGAGGCTGACGTTGTTATAAGGTGTTCGGACTATGATATTTTACTCATACTTCTTGGAAATATGGACCATTCAAGAGCTTCCCTAAAACTTTGAATTAACATGGGCGTTGAAAATCATCAACGATATGTAAACATCAATATGTATAATATTCTTGGTAGTACTATATCTAAAGCTCTACCAGGTTTCCACGCAATGACTAGATGTAATTTCACACCTGTATTTTTCCGTAAAGGCAAACTCAAGCCTTTCAAATTATTGAAAGAATCGGTAGATTATCAATTAGCATTCCAAAATCTTGCTACCGATGACGAAGAAATACTGAAGGATTCATTTCTCACCTTAGAGAAATTTATTTGTCACATGTATGGAATTAGATTTCACTTATTTTCTACTACTTATCGATCCAAAAATTTCAACGACAATTTCGAAAAAAAATTTAAGAATTTCGATTCATCAAGCCGACCTCCTTGTAAAGTTGAATTACAACAATATTTATTACGAGTTCGCTATATGATAAAGTTTTGGAGAAATGCTTACTTAAAATACCCCACGTCGTTATCACTACTAGCTTGCGGTGGGACAATGAACGACAACAAATATGACTTTGTTTAGTTCCTTGGAGACCAATTACCATCATTGATTGCTGATATTATAGTTCAAGGTAAATTTTATTAAAAAAAATTTACCAAACACGTAACAACTTACTTACATTCCTTAATTTAATTAGTATTTTTCTTAACAGATAGTCAAGTTTTAGAAAACAACGATATACCTGAAGACAACTCTGTCAATGATGAAAGCAATGATCACAATGAAAGTAGTGACGATGATAATGACCTTAAAGATGCTTTATTTTAATATTACACCATAATAGAATAAATAAATTTAATTATAATTTGTATGTGATTGAGAAAATATTTAAAATAAAAAATTGAGTTTTTATTTTGCAAATACCATGTGTTATTAAATTTTTCATTTAATTTTATTCTTTCTGTGATTAAATTCTAATCTTTAAGTAATAACTTATTTCAAATATTTTTCTATCTCTCTCTCTCCTTACGCTTCCTGTTGCAGTTATATCTCTCGCGGAACCGACTCATAACTTACTGCACTTTCCTATAGAGACGAGACTTAAATCGGTCTGGCTCTAATTAAACAACAGAATATCTGTATGGCAAATTAATTTAAATTCTTTAATAGCATCACTATATCATATTAAAATTTCAGCTATACTAAAATGGTCTGAATTTTTTTTTTTATTAATGAAATGGCATCTGGCACGGAGTTAGCAACATCAAAACTGTATGGCACGTTACATTTATATTGGTGAAAGGATATAGAAAATTATGAAGAAAAAAAAATCGACCTAAAATGATTTGAAAATACGTAATTTGTACCTGTACAAATAGGATGCGCAGAAGAAAACGCAACCACTCACAGCAGCCAGATGTGCCGTATACCTACCAAGCTTCAATAAGAAAATAAATATCAAAAGACCTATCTACCTAAAATTCTTGCTTGGAAACGTTGCTAGCTCTCGTACTAACAGGTTTTTTGTTTGCAAATGATGAATTTGTAAAGCTTTCGGCTCCTGTATGAGCCTTCCTCAGTACTTTTATTTTTTTATTCTGTTTTTTTTATAATAATATAGTTATTTTATTTTTACTAAATTTAAAAAAATAATAAAAAATAGAATACAGAATGAAAAAATAACAATACCGAGGAAGCCTCATACAGGAGCCAAAAACATAACAAATTCACCATTTACCAACAAAAAAAACCTCTAGTTTTACTTTAAACACCTACAATCTAAGAAAACCGAAATCTGAATATAATTTACAGTGTTGGCCATAATTGGTGAAACATCAGACATTGTGCTCTATCAGACAAGTACCCAAAAAAGCTCGAACAGGTCGATTTTGTTTTTTAAATACATATGTTTCGATAAAAATATATTTTTAATGACGTCATCACTAGTTTTTTCAAATGGCAATAATATTTATTTGATAGTACCTCTAATGGCGAGTGCCCCTAAAATTCCAATTAAAAATGCTGGTCGTCCAACTATTTATTCTTTAATGTACAGGTAAATTTTGGTTTATTCAAGGATAGCGGACAAGACATAATATATTTTTTGTTATCTTACATTAGTAACTAACTGAATCGTTAAAATACAAAGTGATTCCAACATCTACAAATCACCCTTGAATTATGGCAACAATACAATTTACAAATGTTTTAATTGAACAAAATTAAATAAACCTAGTATCCACCAATATTAACAATAATAATTAAAAATTCTCTAAATATACTTATGTCCTTTCTACGGACAATACACCAAACAAGTTCGGTTATTGCTCTTCGACACAAACCATTTGAATTTTTTATTGTCACAACATCCTTTCCCGGATGTAACATAGTAATTCTAGCTATTTTCCACTTAAGAGGTGGCAAATCTTTGTCTTTAACGACCACCAAGTCACTCATTTAGATATTTTCAATAGTTCTCCATTTTCTTCGTTAGACAAATACTCGCGAAACCACTTCTTCCAAAAGCTTTGGACGATTTGAGAGATCAACTGATAACAATTTAACCTTTTAGTGTTGATGTATGTCAACTCTTCTTGGGGTGGTGCCAATAAAGACGTTCCAATTAAAAAATTCCCTGGGGTGAGCACCTGCAAGTCCTCTGTATCTTCCGTCAGAGGTACAAGCGGTCTTGAATTTATGCAAGATTCTACTTACCGACTGGCTATCACACGATCGTTGGGCAAATCACCGACGAGCTGATAAAAGGTTTAAGGTTTAGCCCTTGCACAGGTTATACATATTTGAACCATATTTTTTATAACCGTTTTTCTCGAAATTATCCAAAATTTTTGACGAAGATGTGCTAGTAAGGTTTGCGATCCTGCATGTAATAACCTCTCATCTTCATAATTAATTAATAGTTTAGTAAACTTATTCTTATCAGATAATAAAGTAGGATGTTTTTGTTCAAATTGTAAATTAGAATTTGCTAACCTTAGGCCCACCCTTAGAATACCTTCGTTATCCAGAAATGAAACGTTAAAAGCTTGCTTACCGTAGGAATATATTTTAATTTCTATAATAGCCTAATTTCAGTTTACCAATATTGGCTTTACGACACCTTAACTAACACAATAATGCAAGATTTCAATTATTCCCGGTTAAGGATCCAGTGACTCTTAATGTTTTGGGTTTCCTGCAGTTACTCATGATTCGTAAACAATAACTCAAAACCCTTTGCAATTTAAATAAATTAGAATATCCTTCAAATATATCAAGACTACCATCTTCTAAGAATACCTTTCCAATTGTTCTTTTTTCAGATGTATCAGGAATTTCAAACTGTTTTTGCTTAAGCCAATCTGCTGTATCTTTATAAAGCCAATCTGAACCCCGCCACCATAATTTACAATGTTTTAACTGCTCTAAGTTAATACCTCATGACACGACATCTGCTGAATTATATCTGCTGATGCAACATGTCTCCATATAAAACCCTCAGTAAGACATTGAATTTCTGATGTTCTATTGGCCACGAATGTCACCCAATCAGTTGGTTCTCCCGCCACCCATGATAATACTATGGAAGAATCACAACAGAATATTACCCTATTGATATTTATGTTTATTGAGTTTTACTACTCTTGCTAATTTGGCCGACAGAAGCGAACCACAAAGTTTCAGTCTAGGTAATGAAATTACCTGTAGAGGTATAACTCTAGATTTAGAACAAAGAAGTTTGAATTCGTACCTATCTTGTGAATTCGTAGTATGTTTGTAAATACATGCATCTTAAGCAGGTGTAGAAGCATCACTATAACAGTGTATTTGAATTTCTCTGACTTGACTGCAAAAGACGTATCTCCAACAAATCCAATCCGCTAATTTGCACTGGCGTCAAAAACCACCCGTAACTCTGTAGTCAATGACATTTCCTTGATTACACAATGATGAGGAAGATAACAAATGTTCTAATCGCCCCTTACATCAGCCCCTGCAACGTCTACCTTTGAAGCATATCCCATTTTAACGTATTCACTGATAAACTGATAATACTCTTTTCTTATGCCCTCATTCTTAGTCAGTTTTCTTTCTAGTTGAAAAAACCTTTTTAGCGTGATGTCATACGACTGCTCTAATTCTTAAATACCAGATTTAAATGGAAGTGCCACCACAAAGCTTTCACTACTCTCTCTAAAAGTATTTGCTCTAAAGGACTTTTCGCACTCTTCTTATTTTGTATATTTCTTGACCAATGGAACCTCCTTCAAACTCCAAAATTTCTCTAAGTAGTCACTTACGCTACCATTTAAAACAAAGTTACATGCTCTTACTTTACTCTTTTTTCCTATTTATCGACATAGTCACAGGACCTGTTACTATCTAACCTAACTTTGTATTTTAAAGTATGGTCCCTCCATTATCCAACTCAATTTTTTCCATCCCTAATAAATATACTGCTACCTTATCTACCTTATCACCGTCTCCAAACTCTTCATCTGCCAAACAAATTCTACTTGGAACTTGTAATACTTGAGAATCCACGTACATTGAAGGTATATTTTCAGAAATGTTGTCCATTAATAAAAATGAGTCCCTAAACCTTATAGTATTAACACTTGAATGAAAGACAGCGTCTGTTAAGTATTTAACCTCTGTACAACCATACACGTTATTGTAATTCTAGTTTTTCTTTTTGGTAAGTTTAGCCTCTCCCATAATTCACTTGTCATAAAATTTGACATGGATTCGTCATCCAGTACAGCCATACACCAGTTTGTTACCCAAGATATCTTCTACAAAAACTACTGGTGTTGACAATAACAGTTGTGACTTATTTCCTAGGCATATCTTTTATGTTACCCGTAAATTCTACCGTTGTTTCCTTTGTTCAATATTTCGGTCCAACTCAGTCAAATTCGAATTTATTTCCTGAACTACAATGAGCTGCCTCCTTTTCTCCCGTTGAAATGTGTCGTTTAGATTGCAACAAACTATCATGTCTTTTACCACAAACCCTATAACCTACACTTTTAAAAACTTTGAACCATGTGTCTCGGTCTCAATCAATTACAGCATAGGTGAAGTTATTGAACTAGTTTCCTTTTTTGTAGTTCTGCTAACTCTAAAAACCTTTTACAATTATTAGTCTTGTCACAGGCTCGGCAAACCTGGTTTACTTTGTTCATACTAACGAATGATTTTAAAAACCTGTCAGACTTTTTTACTCCATGATTTGTTGATCTCGCTACTCTTTTACTATTGTCTGAATCCAGTCGCTGAAATTTATGCGAAAGAAACATTAAGAATGCATCTAGCTTTACGAAATCGTTTTTTCCATTCACTTCGTGTGATATTATCTAGTTTCATTTCAAATAAATAAATATTACATCCCAATTTTCAACCGGTATATCTAATGTTTTTAAAGCACGAAGATCTTTTTTATTTGGTTATAGAATTTCCTTAATTAAGTACCTGATTGCTTATTTATAACTGGAAATCCTAGTAAACTATCTAAATGACTTAAACCAATAACCTTTTATAATAACTTCCAAGCTTCAGTATAATTGGTAGAATTCTCTAGCCACTGGATTGCCTCAGTAGCCCACCTTTTAATGCTTGTTTTAAGTAATAAAACTTTTGAGTTTCCCCTAAGTTCGGATTAAAATATACTACCGCCTTGGAAATTTCATGAAATTCTAACCAAGTTTCGTATGAACCCCAAAAAAGTCGGAATTTCTACTGTTGGTAGTTTTATATCATTTGCACTCAAATTAGATGTTTTATTGTTTCTACTAGAACCAGCTAACAGTAAATTTAAATTATGT